GCTTCTGGGCTCTCACTGGGGTGTCAGCACGTGGCCCCTCCCTCTCTGTCCGTGGCCCTCCTGGGACTGCCGGGCTGTTTGGGAGAAACAAGCTCTGAGCCCTCAGAACGGCCTCGTGGTCAGCGGGTACAGTGTCTGTGCCCTCATGTCAGGTTTTCCGAGTCTGAGCTCTATCACGTGGAGGCGGTAAGCCCGGGAGGAGAAACAGATGCAGTGTTCAGAATGTGTATTCAACATGAGGCGCATTAAATTACACAGAAACGTAGAAATGTCACGTGAACCAGATGTTCATATGTGCTGAGACAGTGAGAGTTCTTTTCGTAAAAAGTTACAAATTTATTCATTTTGAATAGGTAATCCAAGCACCTGGCACAAAATTTCACAATTATAGAGTGAAAAATAAATCTTTTTCCCAGTCTTGTGCCCAAGTCCCTCCATTCTCCTCCCAGACACAGCACTGTGCATCCTTCTGGAGATTGTCTATGAAAATCACAAAAGCACAACGGGGCCCTAACTGGTTTGTTCAGTGGATAGAGGTCTGAGGACTGGGGGGGCCCGGGGTTCGATTCTGGTCAAGGGCATGTACCTTGGTGGCAGGCACATCCCCAATAGAGGGTGTGCAGGGGGCAGCTGATTGATGTTTCTAACTCTCAATCCCTCTCCCTTCCTCTCTATAAAAAAATCAATAAAATATATATTTTTTAAAAATCTCACACAAAACACAATGGGCATATTATATATGCTGTTTTTAACTTTGTTCTTTTCATTAAGAGTATATTTTGGAGTCTACTTTAAAAAGCTTTAAAATTGATTTTTAGAGAGTGAGGGAAATGGGGAAAGAGAGAAACATTGATGTGGAAGCAAAACATCCATTGGCTGCCTCCTGCACGCCCCTACCAGGATGGAGCTTGCACCCCGGGCATCAAGTGCACAGGACCACACAGGGTCCAAGGCTGGAGTCTTTTTTCTTATTATAATAGTTCTGTGAGGGAGACATGAGACAGATTAACAAGAGAAAATTGTCAAATTTAATTATGTCTGTACATACGAGAGCTTCCATAAGAACATAGGGCCCTGGACAAACTGGGCAGTTGAGGCTAGTTTGCCATCTTGAGTTAGCTGATGGTGGTGATGGGGGTGTGGCTCGGGACTTCATAGGGGAAGAAGGCAATTCAAATGTTTGGTAAACAAATGCTGGGCCATCTTTGCCCAATGACCCACAGCGAAGACTTTGAGCAAAGCTCCCTCCCTTACACACCAGTTCATATTGCACTCTAGTTATTGATGATGACAGCTCTTTTTCTGGGGTTATCTAAATTCGTTTAGGCAGTTAGGGGGAAGGTCAAAGTCCTACCTGCGTCTTTGCTTCTTAAAAATAGCCAGCTTAAAATAATCAATATCCCCCCAAAGGCATGTTTTGTAGTGGCAGGACCCGGCTCCCCTCAGTGCCTATCCTACAGGAGTTGGGGGTAGATTGAGAAAGCAGAGAAAGCTTGTTTCCACGTGACCCTGGGCTTTGCTTCAGGTGGAGCTTCCGGCTGCTTGCCACAGACAGTGTGTCCCTGGGGCCACCCGAAGCTATCCTGCTCAGGGAGACAACCTGCCATGTGACAGACAGGGAGCCAGCCTCTCTGCCAGATGTCACTGGAGAGATGTGTCCCCTTCTTGCCCTTGCCTGGAATTTTTTTTTCACATTAAAAAAAAATATTTTATTGATTTTTTACAGAGAGAGGAGGAGAGAGGGATAGAGAGCTAGAAACGTCGATGACAGAGAAACATCAACCAGTTGCCTATTGCACATCCCCTACCGGGGATGTGCCCGCAACCAATGTATATGCCCTTGACCGGAATCGAACCTGGGACCTTTCAGTCCGCAGATCGACACTCTATTCACTGAGCCAAACTGGTTTCTGCTGGAATTTTAAAAAATATATTTTTCATTGATTTTTTTTTTTTTTCAGAGAGAGGAAGGGAGAGGGATAGAGAGCTAGAAACATCAACCAGCCGCCTCCCGCACCCCCCCCCCCCACCAGGGATGCGCCCGCAAACCAAGGTACATGCCCTTGACCGGAATCAAACCCAGGACCTCTCAGTCTGAAGGCTGACACTCTATCCACTGAGCCAAACCGGTTTCAGCCCTTGCCTGGGATTTGTTCTCGGAGTTTAATATGTGAGGTACAAGTGCTAGCGCTTCCCCCAACCCCAAACCTGGCTACTCAGTTCTTTTCTGCTGTCAGGTAGGTGGTGAGGATTTTGTGAGCAGTGCGCGGTCACCTCAGAGCTGCGTGTCTGGTTTGTGGAGAGCCCGGCAGGGGCTGTGTTGGAGGGATGGATGCCCAGTGGTGCTGGCCGTGGCTTCAGCTTGCTCAGGTCATGGTGAGCTCTCTTCTTGAAGGCCTCTGGAATACAGCAGGTGGAATGGGGCATAGCCCTTAATGTTTAAAGCTGGTTGAGTGACTTTGGGTCTATCCACAATTACCTTATAGAGTGCTACCTCCTTCCTTCCCTTTCTTTCCCTTGCTCTGCCTGCTCATATTCTTTTAATGAGCTTGTAATCCCTGAAACAGCTTGTATCAAATCATCTTAATTTGATTTAGATGTTCCAAAGAAAAATATCATTGTGGTATTTCTTTAAATTTCCTCAGATCAAATTACTTACAAGATTTTCCAATTGAAAGAGAAAAAGATCAAGTTAGATATCTTGAACATTTGTTCTTAGGGAGGCACCAAAGGCAGGGGCTTTCAGCAGTTTGTTATCTCATCTAATATATTTTAAATTTAAAAAAATATATATTTTTTATTGATGTTTTTACAGAGAGGAAGGGAGAGGGATAGAGAGTTAGAAACATCAATGAGAGAGAATCATCGATGAGAGAGAATCATTGATCAGTTGCCTCTTGCACACCCCCTACTGGGGATGTGCCCGCAACCAGGGTACATTCCCTTGGCTGGAATCGAACCTGGGATCTTTCAGTCCTCAGGCCAACGCTCTATCCACTGAGCCAAACCGGTTTCAGCTCATCTGACATTTTTTAAATTATAGCTTTATTGAGATATAATTCACATACCATATAAACTCACCTACTTAAAGTACACAATTTAGTAGTTTCAGTATATTAATACAATTGTGTAGCCATCACCACAATCAGTTTTAGAATATTTTCATCAATCACCCCACAGAAACTTCATACCCATTAGCAGTCACTTCCGATATCTCTCCAATCCCCTCAACCTAAGGCATCCACAAATCTACTTTCTGTCTGATGGATTTTCCTATTTTGGACATTTCAACATAAATGGACTTGTGGTCTTTTGTGACTAGCTTATTTCACTTAGCATAATATTTTCAAGATTCATCCACATTGTAGCATGGATCAAAACTTTATTCCTTTTTATGGCTAAATAATATTTCATTGTATGAGTATAAAACATTTTGTTTATCTACTAATCAGTTGATGGACATCTGGTTTGTTTCCATTTTATTGGTTGTTATGAAGAATGCTGCTATGAACATTTCTACACAAGTCTTTGTATGACCTCATTGGATCTTTACAGTAACTCTCTAAGGTACATGTTCTATAGATCTCATTCTATAGATAACAGAACTTCCAGGATGGTAGACAGGAAGTTTGAACACAGCTGTTCGATTCCTAAGTGCATGCTTTCTCCAATCTATGTTCATGGAGTTGAAATAATTGCTTTGACAGAACCTGGTATAGATATGCCTGTAGGAGGTGTCAACCTTAAAAATAAAAATGTTGTTTTACCAGGAATAGTAGAGGAATTGCAATTCAGGACATGCAAGCCATGGCAAACCACAGGCAAGAAAATGGAGGAGATGTCCCTTATAAAGGAAAGGAAGTTAGGAGAGAATGGTGTGAAGGAAAGTCCATCAGAAGAGAGCCAGAGTTCAGGGTGATGGATGTTCAATGGCTGGGCTGTTGCTGGGCAAGGGGAAAATCTTCCTCCCGCTGGCTGCAGTAGTAAAGTGTGCTTCTTCCTTGTGAGAACCATTAGCTCCTTCCCCCGGGAATTTGCAAGGTGCAGTGAGTGGCTAGAGCCTGAGCACTCTCTCTTCACGATCTCACTACTTCAATTTAAGAGAGAGAGAGAGAGAAAGAGAGAGAGAGAGAGAGAGCGAGAGCGAGCGAGCGCGCGAGCTTGAAGATGTCCCACTTATTTATGCATTTATTGATTGGTTCTTGCCTGCGCCCTGAATGGGGATGGAGCCCACAATGTTGGCATATGGTCGTGATAGTGCTCTAACCAACTGAGCTATGGCCAAGGCTCCTTTTATTCATCTTCACAGAAGGAATTGCAAACGTGAACAGTTAATTTTCAGTTGTGACATTTCAGCCCTTTCCCCTACCTCTCCCTTCCCTCTCTGCCCTGACTCCTTTCCTAGCTCTTAGTTCTTCCTTTCGGGGATCAGTTCCTCTCCCCGGTACCAGGGGCAGAATTTCGCTCGCTCATTTGCACTCTTGTGTAAACTAGATTCCGCTCATTTACACGGAATGTAGTTGGAGTCTATTTGCATGTGTGAATTACGTCCCATGAGACGAAAGCTCCTCTGCTAGGAGCGGGCACGTGGTTGGTATTTGGAGCAGTGGACAGAGACAGGAGCTTCCCGAAAAAGCTCCTTTTCTAGCTCCGTCCCCAGGCTTCACGGATGAAGGCCACCCACGCGAAGGGCTGGAGCTGCGCGCCGACAGCTACCTCCGCCCGGCTCCCCTCCAGCCAGGCCACGCACGCCGTTGCCTGGGCAACAACCCGCCAGAGCAGGTGGCGCCCGGGGAGTCCCCGCGGGGAGCGCGCCCCCGCCCGACCACGGCGTCAGGCCCGGCCCCGCCCCTCAGCACCCGCGGGACCCGGCTCTACCCGAAGCCCCGCCCCCTCGGTGGGGAGCCTGGGCAGCCGACGAATCAGAGAGACGGACACATCGCCCAGGCAGCCAATCCCCGCGGGCGTGTGATCCCGCGCCCACCCGGGAGCTCGGCGGCCGGCGCCGAGGCAGCGACTGCGGGAGTCGCTGTGGAGGCGGCGGCGGGCGCCGGTCGCGTTGCGCTGCTCCGAGGGGCCGGGCCGGGCTGGCCGCTGCTGGCGCCTGGCCGTGAGGGCGGGCTCCCGGGCGGGCGGGCGGGATGGCCCCCGCCTAGGGCGGTGGGAGAAGCGGCGGAGCCCAGGATGCTGGGGAGGCGGCGCGGCGGCTCCTCACTCATCCCAGGTAAGGCGGACGCCGCGCTCGCCGCGGCCCGCTACCCGCCCGCCGCCGCCCACCTGGCGCCCGATCCCGGCGGCTCTCTCCGGCTCGGGCCGGGCATCCCTCGGCCCCACGCCGCCTCTGCCGGGACGTCTCCTGGGTTGCCCCGGGGCAGTGGTCCCGTTCCGCACCCCCAAACCCCAAGCGCTGCGCCCCACGCCGTTGGCCGGGCCGCCCCTGCACGCACCCCCTCCCCCTGGGGCAGGGTTTCCGGGTCTCGGCTTCTGAGTGGCCCGCCGGCCCCCCGCCGGGGTGAGCCTCCGGCTTCTCCCCTTCCTTCTCTCCGGGCTGACACCGCGTCCCGGCCCCCCGCGTCCCGGCCCCCCGCGTCCCCGCATTCCTTCGTGCGCCTTCCAAGGATGAGACCCCTTCTCTTCCCTTAGCCGGGATCGGACTTCTGCCCCTACCCCTTCCCGGGCTTCGCTTCTGCAGGCGCACCCCCATCCCTGTCCCCGCTCCCTATTCCCGGTACTCTCCACATTTCACCCCGACCCCCCACATGTCCTGGGTCTTCCTTTCCAAACTCGCCTCTTCCCCCCTCACTTTTCACCAACCACCTTAGCGAGCACTCCTTCCTTGACACTTTAAGCCTAAAGTCACTTTAACAATCGCCTGTATGTCAGGTCTATAGTTTTGACATCTTGATTCGTCTTTAAGGGTGCAGCAACCCACAGCATGTAAAGTGCCTTCCTTGCCCGGAGCCTGGCACACAGTAGGTCTGGCGCATGGCGGGTGCCCACACGTTAGTCTGTTAGGCTCCTTCCAGGCCTGTGTGCTTCCTCTCCAGATGGGGGTAGCAAGAGGTCCGGTATCCACAGAGATACCCCTCTCCCTGAGGAGTGGTGTGGGTGATGGCAGGATGCATTCGTGAACCCCAAGTGTGATCTTTACGTTATATATTGTTTTATATTTTATTATGTTTTATATTTGCCGTTTTATACTATTTCATGTTAGTTGGTGCTGTCAGCAATTCTTAGTGAGCTTTGCAATATAATTTCCCCCCTCCTTATTCCCCTCCTCCCCACCCCCATCTGTTTTTAGGAGGAAAGGGCCCCTACCTCATAGCGGAAATTAGCACTGTGTAAGAAGTGTTTAATGTGTTTCTTTCTCCGCTAGTCCAGTCCCGCGGTGAATTTTCATTCTTTAAGAATTTGGAGGAATCAGACTTAGATTTTTTGGAATCAATTGCTGAAGGGCTCAGAAATGCTTAGTAGTGCCCTGGCCAGCGTGGCTTACCGGCAGTTGACTGGAGCTAGTCCTGTGTGGGGTTTGATTCCTGGTGAGGGCATATACCCAGGTTGTCTGTTGTATCCCGGTGGTGAGAGCGCATATGGGGGGCAACCAATGTCACATCCATGTTTCTCTCTCTCTCTAAAATAACATTTAAAAAAATGCTTAGGAGTGACGATTCTGACAAGTTTTCTAAAGTAAAAGTATTGTAATTAACACACCCACTCCCCACCCCCATTCAACTGTCCCCCAAACCTCTCAACTGCCCCCCCTTGGGCACTGGCCGGGACATACTTTCTGACTATCAAAGGAAAGAGCTGCAGAATAATATAAATTTGACTTTTTAAAAATAAGAGCAGTGTTACTGGCCTCAAGCCATTCTTGCCACATTTGCTATGATGGTCTCCAAGCTTGGATGAATCAAACACTTGGCTTTTTTCCTACTCGCGGGATCTCCAGAGCAGGCTGGAGACAATCATGTAACTGAGCTGCTGGTGCTGTTCTCAACTGGATTCCAACTGTACTCTCACTGCCTGGATATGCTTTGACTTGCCCTTTATGTACTAAAAGCCTAAATGGTTGTCCATAGAGCTTTACCCTTCTCCTCTAACTATTTGTCCTAGTACTCTTGAGTTCCTTTCATTGCTTATTTTGCCTCCTACCTCACAGAAGAAATTGATGGACATTGGCCCTGAACTCTTAAGGGCCTCATTTTCCTGTGTGCCGGTACTTATCTGATTTCTGATCTTTTCTTTTATCAGAGTAAGTCCTTCTATAAAACTAACATCTCTGACCTCCCGCTTTATTCTCGTTTTTTTCTCTTAGCCCACATCCAAAACAAAAACAAAAACCTCCCCTTGATGCTTCCCTCTTTTTGTTCCTTCAGATTAACGTGGTATTCTTTAGAATTTCATTTTTGATTCTTTTCTCTGTTCTTTCTAATTTCTTTGTGTGTTACACTTTTTCTCATGGCTTCCAATGGCACCTGAATATTTATGGTTTTCGAAATGTATATTCAAGTCCCCATTTTTTCTTGAACTTCGTGTGTTTCTTTTTTTCATCTGTCTGGTGGATAAAAATATACTGGATAGTTGGTACTTAAACATGATTATCTTTTCCTTTCCCTTCCCTCTACTCATAGTCCCCTCAATCACATACACAGACACTATTTTAAGGTCTTTACCCTAGAAAGCTTAGAATCCTCTTCTTTCCTGACATTTAGTCTGCTGTAGATCCTATTGTTCCACCTCTAGTCCTTTTCTTTCCCTCCTCATTGCCAGGAGATTGGTTGAGGTCTATGCTATGTTTCTTCTAAGCAGAGTCTGTGTCAACCATTTGCAACCCAGGCACTATTTAAAGCCACCTTGGGAGCTTTTAAAGTGTAAGGCTGAGGGGATCAAAGTATCTCTAGAGGTTCTGATTCACTTGGTCTGGGGTGGGGCCAGACCTTGTCATTTAAAAAATGCTTCCTATGTGATGGTAAATATGCAGCTAATGCTGAGAACTGGGCTGAAAGCTCAAAGAGGGAGTGATAGAACCCCAAGGAATTATAATACTGAGCTCATCCTTTAACAATCAGGATGAATGTAATTTTTGTTGGCAAGATTACTTGCTTATTTTCGTGGTGCTTTGTACATATGCCACATTAAAGTACATGTACCTATGATCACATTTTCTCTAACATATTTCTCATGGGTCCATTTTTTCTCAAGACTAGGAATTTCTTGAGGTCTGGGACCATGCCTAAAAATAAACTGCTGTTTCCTCTGCATTACACATAACACTTCTTATACTAACTATGTGGGTTTCCCCCTTACATTAAGCATTTCTCCAACTCTCTAGACACCAACTAGGTGTCCTATAATTTAACTCAATTATAACACTAACTATCTGGAGTTAGTTGCAGACTGCACAGACCAGGAGGAACTCAGTCACCTCGCTTCAAATGCCAGCAGCAAGTTTCAGGTTGTGACCTGTACTTTAATTTATACCAACGGGCTATAAATTGGGGCTTTCCACAACCTCCTCGTCAGGTTGATAATTTGTTAGAAAGGCTCACAGAAATTTAAAAAAAAAAAAAAGGTCTTTACTTGTCATTACTTGTTTATTATAAAGACTGTAACTCAGTAACAGGCAAATGGAAGAGGTGTATAGGGCAGGATGTGGGTATGGAGTTTCCATGCCTTCTCTGGCCATGCTATTCTCCCAGTATCTGGTGTTCACCAGTCCAGAAGCTCTCCAGAACTTTTTAGTTAGGGTTTTTACGGAGGCTTTATCACACAGACCTAAATGATTAAGTAATTGACCATTGGTCATTAATTTAATCCACAGCTCCTTTCTCCTTGGAGGTAAAGGGATAGTTTCTTTGGCAACCAACCGCCACCCCTCCAAGATATGATTGAAAGCGACTTATTGTGTATAATAAGAAATTTCAAGGATTATAGGGCTCTGTGCTAGGAACCAGGGATGAAGACTTTGTTCTATAATAATTATTATATCACAGTGCCTTATTTATCTTTTCATCACTGCCTTACCTAGTGCTGGATATATTTTAGAAACTTGATGAAAATTGGCTGAATGAATTACTTTGGTAAATAATGTAAAACATCATGAACTTAGAGTTTTGCAAGCTGACCAGCTGTTTCTTGGCTGCTGACAGGTCATTCATACTTGCACAGTCTTTCTTTCCTCTTGAGTGTTTAATCCATTTACACTTATTGTAATTATCAGTCCATTCAGATTTATATTTTGCTATTTGTTTTTTGTGTGTCTTGCCATTTTGCTATTTGTTTTCTATATGACTTGTCTTTTTAGTTTCTCTATTTTTTCATTTACTGCCCTTTTTATTAAATACTAGAGGCCTGGTGCATGAATTTGGGATCAGGCCAAAAGTGTCTCTCCGACATCCCCAAGGGGTCCTGGATTGCGAAAGGGTTAGGCCAGTCTGAGGGACCCCACTGGCCGGATTTCTTGAAGAAGAAGAAAAAAAAACCAAAATATGAATAATAAAGTGACAATAACTACATACCTATCAATAATCACTTTAATTGTAAGTGCATTAAATGCCCCAATTAAAAGACATGCTGTGGCTGAATGAATAAAAAAATCAAGACCCACACATGAAATCAAACTAAAAAGTTTCTGCACAGCAAAGGAAACCATCTACCAAATGAAAAGATAACCTAATGAATGGGAGAATATATTTAGCAATGATACATCCAATGAGGAGTTAATATCCAGAATATATAAGGAACTCATAAAGGTAACACCAAAAAAGAAAAACATTCCATTTTAAGAATGGGCAGAGGACATAAATAGACATTTTTCCAGATGACATGCAGATGGCCAATAGACATATGAAAAGATACTCAATGTCACTAATCGTCAGAGAAATGGAACCACATGAGATATCACCTCATACCTATCAAAATGGCTATTATCAATACACCCACAAACAACAAGTATTGATTGAGGAGAAAAGGGAACCCTCCTGCACTGTTAGTGGGATTGCAAATTGGTACAGCCATTAGGGAAAACAGAATAGAGGTTCCTCACAAAGTTAAAAGTAGGAATACCTTATGACTCAGTTCCACCTCCTGGTATTTATTTGAAGAATTCCAAAATACTTATGTATTAAGAAGTATTCCTTTGTTCACTACAACATTATTTGTAATAGCCAAGATATGGAAGCAGCCTAAGTGTTCATCAGTAGGTGGTTGGATAAAGAAGATACG